TGTAATCTCAGCTATAATGATAAAGGGAGATTATTGATATTTTCACTGTCTGTAACCAAGGTTACTGATTTGTTGTTTTGAGAGGAAATCTGGTGTTTCAACTATTGACAAACAATCATGGAAATCAACATCACAATCATTATCTGCATCGCGTTAAACAGCTTCACGATCCATGGATGACCAAATATTGGCCTCTGAGAACTGCTGTAAGTCCCTGGCATCTGCATTGGCAGCCATGTTGTCAACATCTCTTTCTGTAAGGTCAGACTTAACATTTTTGTTGGTTTTACAGATAAGTCTGACCTTAACCGTTTTATATAAGAAACGATTAATTTTTTAAAATTCACATCGCGTTATCCTGTGTGTGGTTGTGAATATAGCTGGTGTTATTGAAGATTTTGTTGATTTTTAACATGATTTTAATTATGTATTTGTATCTCCAACAAGAACATTGTTTAGTTAATTACAAGTAGACTGATATTCTAGAACGTCTAGAATTAGTTGGATAGTAATATTATATTCACATGTTTTGTTACATCAATATGTATCAGTGTGTCTCAGGCATCTTGGCAAAGGGCCAACAAATCGGCAAAGCAAGACATCCACTTGGTGGGGTATATGTACAGTGGTTACCATGGTTACATGTAGAGGTGTGCTGTATACCACAATTTGAAATATTAATAATATGCATCCAAATATGTTTGCAAATTTTTTTTTAAATACAGGTATATTGTGATTTTCAAAATCATACATACCCCGTATTTTAATCTTGTTGAGAAAGTTAACAAAAGTGACAAGATGAACTGAAATTATAAAATGCAGCAATTGGCAAACTGATTCTTGTGATCGAAAAAAGCAAAATTATTTGCGACCAGCTTCTTGTATATAATGTGTGTTTTACGCATGTTGTGACTACAGCAGTATTCAACAAAGAGGCGGATGACTGCGAAGTTGTCACCAGTGGCAATTACGGGTTACGTCCTTTCTATGTCCCTCCTATTGACCTTTCAGATTCTACCTCTCATATCACTTGCATTTGATTCAAACAAAATGGCCGCGCTCAGTCAAGATGATCTGATCCAAGATCTTTTTTTATAATAAAATGGATCTTGCCTCACGAATGCATCAAATCACTTGAGCACCTTGATTAAAAACATGAATAGATTTGGAAAACATCTGTTGATGCCCATTTGACAGTACACATGTTCTGCAAATTCTGCAATCGACACGGCAGTCAAGTGTCAAGTTGTCAAGTGTTGTGTCCAGGCTTGTGGTGTCAGATCTCATCTCAGACAGATTTGATGACACTGCCGATCTGTCGTGATGCCACTTCTCCCACACTGCAAACACCAGTAATTGTGAACTCTCTGTTGTGGCCTTTAGTTAATGAGGGGCAGAAATAAGATAGTCAATACGGACCATTGTCCATTGGCGCTATAGTTTCTGATAATCCACAGACAATGTAAGTATTGATTACAATGCTGGAAGAAGCAGCTTGGGCTGTTTTCTCTTGTACTCACAAGATCCTGGTTTTATCAATACAGCTGAATGTAGCACACCAAAAGAAAAAACTGTTGAAGTGTTGCTGTTAGTTTGGTAGTCCTGCATCATGACCGTGTAATATAAGATTTCAGAGCCTTAATGTTAGTCTATTAGTTTGGTACTGGCTGGTGGTAGCTGTTGAGTTTCCTTCATCGCGAGGTCAGAAAGCTGATGCACTTCACAGGGCCTGATGCCATTAAGTGGAGGACTTGGGAATAACTAGATTAAAGAGGATGCCTACAGCAAGATAACCTTTCAGGTCAGCTTGCAAAATCTACTTGCGACACTGATGTGGACTGGAAAATTTAATCGCCTCAACATTAAGGCGTGATCGATTCAAGAAGGAAGTTCTTATGTCTTAAAATTTTAGATAGTATCCCTTCTGTAATACTATTGAAGTCCTAAGACAATGTCAGTGTTCTTGAAGCAGGAGTGCATTAGGCAAGTTGTTACAGTGTTTGCTTGTGACACCGTAACCCGAGATTGATTCTCACATTGTAATTGAGTGAAACTCATTGCTGGTGTGTGCTATGGTGTTGTGAAAGGCAGCATAAGACCCTGCAGATAGTCGTATTTCATTATCTACTCATGAATCAAACAATGATATCTTACTGTAGTTGAAATAGATGTGTCTGTTTCTGTGGATATGAGATAAGTTTGAGAGGAGAAGTGTCTGTTACAGGAGATGACAAATGTATGTCATCAGTTCAGTAAGAAATAGATTTACTTCTGTCTTCAGTGTAAGCAGTTTATTTCTACCACATCTTCATGAATAATAGACAATAGTGCCTGGGTATCTCTTGTTGCCGTGACGTCAAGATGTTGCTTTCTGTAGACTGTAGAAAAAAAGAAAAATCAGAAAGTACATGTGTTCTATTTTTGTCTTAAGGCCAGAACAAAGTGATCAGTAGACTAACATCTAGTCTCTGAAATGAACATATCGTACATAAAAAAACAGTTGTTCAGTTACCTTAATAAAAATGTAATAAAAAGGAGCCCAGTGACTCTCTTCATTTTCAGATACTGCAGTGATCTAGACTTGCCAAACATTATAGACTTGCATGGGCTGTATTTGATATATATTTGTATCAGGGTCTGTAAGACAGACTAAGTGATCAGGTGTGTATGAGATTCACAGGAATCACAGCCACTTTTACCATTGTTTTTTTTACTGTAGACCAGTAGAATATATTTGCTAAATGAACTTAGAAATTAGAATCATTGGTATTTGTTCATTGATGCCATCCATTGAGGAGATAATCAATTCAGTTCATGTTACCTATGATGTGAGACGGCTATTAATATCAATATCAGCTGACGACAGGTTGCCTCTTACACCTTGTTAATGGCACCAGTCTTGTGATTGACACACTTACAGGTGTGGTATAAGTTATATACATCCCAGCAACTTTCTCTTACCCAGCACCAAGGTGGGTGGGATCAGACAGACCGGGAGATTTTGTAGTGTATTTGTAGTTCATGGGTGTTGTATACGAGTTAATGGGCGTTGTGTACCATGTATACCAGTTCATGGGTGTTATATACGAGTTCATGGGTGTTGTATACCTGTTCATGGGTATTGTATATAAGTTCATGGGTGTTGTATACCAGTTCATGGGTGTTGTATTTGTTATTGGGTGTTGTATACCAGTTCATGGGTGTTTATACGATGTATACCAGTTCATGGGTGTTGTATTCATATACCAGTTCATGGGTATTGTATACGAGTTCATGGGTATTGTATATGAGTTCATGGGTGTTGTATACCAGTTCATGGGTGTTTTGTTCACAAGTTTATGGGTGTTGTATACTAATTCATGTGTGTTGTATTCATTCATGGGTGTTGTATACAAGTTTATGGGTGTTGTATATGAGTTCTTTGGTGTTGAATACCAGTTCATGGGTGTTGTATACAAGTTTATGGGTGTTGTATGCGAATTCATTTTGTATTCGTTTAAGGGTGTTTTATACAAGTTTAGGGTGTTGTGAACTACATCTACTACATCTACTACTCCTACTACTACGGTAAATTGGGAAAAAACGTGTGCTCAGCTGATTGCTGTTTCTGGCTTAGTTTACGAGAAAATACACATGGTAATCTTAATCTCTGCACATAAAATGCCTATCAGAACAGGAAATACTTTAAACGTTAAATCAACATGTCTGGTGATGTTTTATCTCAAATTTCAAATTTGTACTGACCAAGTTTGTCATCACCCGCTAGTGTACCTGAATTCCTTGAAGGGAAATGATGTAATTGTCTTCTGTGTATCATGCTTGAAAAATCTTGTTCCCCTGAAATACTGTATCCCCTAGAGGCGTGGTGCGCATTATACTTGGGTGCACACTATACTCAAGAATAGTCACTTCTGCAGCTACTTTTGTTCCTGCTACTACGACTACTACATCTACTCCTACAAGTACTACTGCTACTGCTGCTACTGCTGCTGCTACTACTACTATTACTGTTGCTACTGCTTTCACATGTACTACTCCTGCTACTGCTGCTGCTACTACTACTACTACTACTACTACTACTACTTCTTCTTCTTCTGATTCTTCTTCTTCTTCTTCTTCTTCTACTACTACTACTTCTACTACTACTACTACTACTACTACTACTACTACTACTACTACTACTACTACTACTACTACTACTTCTTCTTCTTCTTCTTCTACTACTACTACTACTACTACTACTACTACTACTACTACTACTTCTACTACTACTACTACTTCTACTACTACTACTACTACTACTACTACTACTACTAAAACTACTACATCTTCTACTGCTGATACTGCTGCTGTAAGAATGATTTATGTAGAATGCAGCACAAAACAAACAAGATTCAGGAAGTTACGGTACATAAACTGTTCATTGTTAAACAATGATTGTTTCCCTCAACTCGGGCCTGTCAACATACATGTGTCACACGATAATCACCAGGAAGAATCTCGCTGCTCACTGGGGTGGCATATCAGGGTGGCAGCATACCGAGTGGGATATCGACGTCGACACACCACAATGACATGGGGTGACACAGGGACACTTTGCTTGTGTTGTGGTAAATACATGGTTTATTCATTTGTTCGGACAGTTTACCGCCAGTTTTCATGTTTATCAACATCAAAGATGGGAGTTACTGACGGTATGCGGGCTCATATGGGGTTAATAATTCTGCTCTTTATGATTGGTCAATCACACTTTGAAGCATAATAAAAGGTGATATGCTTTATACCCAAGTGTTTTGCATGTGTGAGCTCCATATGCACATTGTGTACTCTGTCTGTCTGTCTGTCTGTCTGTCTGTCTGTCTGTCTGTCTGTCTGTCTGTCTGTCTGTCTGTCTGTCTGTCTGTCCGTCCGTCCGTCCGTCCGTCTGTGTCTGTGTCTGTGTGTATCATGGATGTGTAAGTTCTGTGTGCAAGGTAATCACTTTGTATCCTGTGTTTCAGCCAAGGCAGCAGGCGTGGTATGTGTCCTTGGCATTGGGGTCGGCCTGGGGTCACTGCTGGTGTACAAGTTGTACTACAACTACATCCGACCCATCTTCAACAGACAGGGGTCCGACACCAGCGCGACGACAAAGGACATATATCAGGAAGATGACTGCTGTTTCTATTCAGTAAGTATCACAATGACTTGTCAATGATATACAGTCGTCTTACACAACACGGGGATGTTGTGTTGTGTTCAATGGCCTGTGTACCTCTTCCTGTTTTTATTCAGTGAGTATCACAATGACTTGTCAATGATATACAGTCGTCTTACACAACACGGGGATGTTGTGTTGTGTTCAATGGCCTGTGTACCTCTTCCTGTTCTTATTCAGTATCACAATGACTTGTCAATGATATACAGTCGTCTTACACAACACGGGGATGTTGTGTTGTGTTCAATGGCCTGTGTACCTCTTCCTGTTTTTATTCAGTAAGTATCACAATGACTTGTCAATGATATACAGTCGTCTTACACAACACGGGGATGTTGTGTTGTGTTCAATGGCCTGTGTACCTCTTCCTGTTTTTATTCAGTGAGTATCACAATGACTTGTCAATGATATACAGTCGTCTTACACAACACGGGGATGTTGTGTTGTGTTCAATGGCCTGTGTACCTCTTCCTGTTCTTATTCAGTGAGTATCACAATGACTTGTCAATGATATACAGTCGTCTTACACAACACGGGGATGTTGTGTTGTGTTCAATGGCCTGTGTACCTCTTCCTGTTTTTATTCAGTAAGTATCACAATGACTTGTCAATGATATACAGTCATCTTACACAACACGGGGATGTTGTGTTGTGTTCAATGGCCTGTGTACCTCTTCCTGTTCTTATTCAGTGAGTATCACAATGACTTGTCAATGATATACAGTCGTCTTACACAACACGGGGATGTTGTGTTGTGTTCAATGGCCTGTGTACCTCTTCCTGTTTTTATTCAGTGAGTATCACAATGACTAGGGCTGTGATGGGTAGGGTATAGATAGACCAAAGTCTGTTTTCAAGGACTTGTGTACCCATGAAGGGAGATAACTCAAAATGCATCTTGTTGACAAGGAGAAATGGGATTTTGCATCAGGATTAGGTAGTTTTTCAGCTTCAGGTACAAAAAACAGATATTTTTTACTTAAAACTATGAGCCTGACTTTGTTTTAAAGAAAAGCCCCTTGCCTAAATGTAATTTTTGTGGCAGGCAATTATATTTTTTCAAAGGTCTGAAGCATAATTATTTTTTTCAAGACTTTTCAGGGACAATTTATTTTTCGATAAATAGAGGATATTTAATTGCGTCACTCGTGAAAATATTAGACTCTCCCCACTTCACTCGATGAGATAAAAGTGGTATTTGAGAAAACACATTGAATTTTCTATTTATTATATACATGTTTTATTTTTATTACTTGCAATTTATATATTTTTTCGAAAACAGTGTCTGATAAATTACTAAGTTCTCCCTGTCGCCCCTTTACCACCGCCGTATAAAGAGGGTTTGCGAAAAGAATATAGTTCTTGAATAAAACTAGCCCTGTTAATATATGTTATGCAAAATATATTATTTCATATCAAGTATTAAGTTCCGTGGACATTTTTGTTTGTCATAATTAAACATTCCTCTTAAAAATGAAAACAGAAATCATTTTCGAACAGCGATTATTTTATTGGCGTAGGAATACATAAACAGTTAGTACGGTGACCATGTCGAACGATCAGCTAAGCGCTCTCCAGGCTTACAAAATCCGCCAAATTTGATCAAATTTTCTCACAAATAAGTATGAAAGTTGACATAAACACATTTATAGAACCCCGAACATTTTAACTGAAACATTGTTGCTTGCTGTCATGAATTAAATTAGGAAAGTTCAATTCTCGGAAAATTCAAGCGGGTGCTTCTCGCCTCGGCGGTATGTCTTGCTGTTGCCAGTTGTGCCTAATGTCTGGCAAGCATGTCCGGCGCAAGAGTGATATTAACATTGCCATGATGTTATTTCCAGACATCAGACTCGTCAAAAAGTTCCTGTGGTCAGTTGAAGAGAAGTTATGCACCTGTGGTTGAGACTGAGTACAGTCAGCACCTTGTATATATCAGTCACTAGTCACTGATAAATTCCAGTATTTCATTCATATGTATATAATAAAATTACAGCCCCCCCCCCACCCCCTTCTGAATATCAAATAGTCGGCCCCTGAGGTCATTTTCTATCAACTCTTTACAGCACCTGCTACTATTATTCTTCTACGGATAATCTGAATTCCAAATCTTTGAGTACCAATTATTTTCTACCCATGAGCTAAAAGCCAAAACCTTCATCCTCCTCTATAGTCCATGATAGAGAAGGGTTACACTGACAAACTATCTTATATTGAAGTCTGTATCTCACACGTTGGAAAGTGCTGAGTGTCCTTTATTGATAAACTCTTGTGCAAGTGTACCTAACTTCATGAGTTTATATATAGACAGCTGGCGGCTTGTTTGGCAGAAATGATATTGATGGTGCTCTTGTGTATGCTAAACACATCAAGATCTGAGATTGATTTCGGAGGTAAAATAAAACCATTAATGACAGCAATTTCAATAATTCACCACACTATTTCCCACTGACAGGCTTTCATTTTCCTGAACTGTTCAATACTTTGTTGAATATTGTTAGATTTAATGATGCAAACACATGCTTTGACAAATGGCAAGTGTACTACTACTACTAACCGATAAAAGGATTGCTGCAAGTGTTCTGCAACATCAGGAGTCTGTACTACCCGATAATAGATTGCTGCAAGTGTACTACTACACCAGCAGGTAATACTACCCGATAATAAGATTGCTGCAAGTGTACTGCTACACCAGCAGGTAATACTACCCGATAATAGATTGCGGCAAGTGTACTGCTACACCAGCAGGTAATACTACCCGATAATAAGATTGCTGCAAGTGTACTACTACATCAGAAGGCAGTACAAACCTATAATAAGATTGCTGCAAGTGTACTGCTACATCAGAAGGCATTACAAACCTATAATAAGATTGCGGCAAGTGTACTACTACATCAGAAGGAAGTACTAATTGACAATAAGATTGCTGCAAGTGTACTGCTACATCAGAAGGCAGTACTCACTGATAATAAGATTATGGCAAGTCTACTGCTACATCAGAAGGCAGTACTAACTGATAATAAGATTATGGCACGTGTACTGCTACATCAGAAGGCAGTACTAACTGATAATAAGATTATGGCAAGTGTACTACTACATCAGAAGGAAGTACAAACCTATAATAAGATTGCTGCAAGTGTACTGCTACATCAGAAGGCATTACAAACCTATAATAAGATTGCGGCAAGTGTACTACTACATCAGAAGGAAGTACTAATTGACAATAAGATTGCTGCAAGTGTACTGCTACATCAGAAGGCAGTACTCACTGATAATAAGATTATGGCAAGTCTACTGCTACATCAGAAGGCAGTACTAACTGATAATAAGATTATGGCAAGTGTACTGCTACATCAGAAGGCAGTACTAACTGATAATAAGATTATGGCAAGTGTACTGCTACATCAGAAGGCAGTACTAACTGATAATAAGATTATGGCAAGTGTACTGCTACATCAGAAGGCAGTACTAACTGATAATAAGATTATGGCAAGTGTACTGCTACAAAAGCAGCTAGTACTACCAGATAATGGGATTGCAGCAAGTGTTATTGATAGTCATAATATTAATTTTTCTTGGCTTCAGTTTCCAATCTACTGTGCAAGTGTTGTTATGGTATGGAGATCACCTCCTTGTACAGATGAATCCAGTCGCATGTCAGCCAATTTTTACCTACCATCATAGACTTACCTCCACTCTCCATCTTTGTGAAATAATGACAATTACAGACCATATGGTGTTGGCTGTGATATCTGTCTGTCAAGTCTGTCGGAGCCACTTCCGAACCTAAATCCTCCAGGTGCATGATGGGAAGGCTACACTGCCTGAACATTCACTCATGTTTCTGGAGGTAAAAATAGAACTGGCCTGTTCTGATGGAATTATCTGTGGTTAGGTAATTCACAGCTTGCATTGAATAACCTTTACACGTAGGGGTGTATGTGAACTTGGTCAGACACCTTCACACGTAGGGGTACGTGCAAGACATAGGGGATGTTGGCTGGAGGTCAGATTCATATGAAATATCACACATATTGTATTGTCTTGTTTTTCTTTGTAATTATGCTACTCAACCTTTGATAGGGACACTGATTTAGTTATGCCATAATCAATGACAGGATAACTGCTTATAGAAGTTTAAATTTCATTTAAAACAAATATGTAGAGCTGTCACTTTCTTGGCAGAATTGAATACTATTTGTATGACAACATCTAATGGTCAGTCACATTTTGTCTGCACTCACATTATTCATATCAAAAAGTGAGTAAATTAGCTTTAAATATAATTTGGCCAGAAATAATACAATTTTATTAAATTCTATATTAATTAGGTCGGAAATATTATTAAAAATACAAACAAAGGCATGCATGACAGAAAAGTCGATCTCCTTGGTATGATTTCATTTTGATGCACCTGTTTATGACAATGTACTGAGTGGACACAGCGCTGGTGGTTGTGTTTCCAGGGACAGTGCCACACAGGCACTGGGTTTCCATCTGTCTGGGAGAGGGATATACGTGTCGTATCACACGCTCAGCAGAAACTGCTGTACCAAGGTGATAGGCTTACTGAAAACTCTTCTACCTGTCTACGAGGACCATTTATCATGTCAGCTTGTCAGAGTGATCTGTTCCTGATTTAGAAGTGTAAGTGTAATTTTGTAAGGTCATCAGGTTCCTGTTTCATGTCTCGCAGAGAAATGGCATCACGATATTTTGAGTTTTGTACAAGTAGTTATTGGTTATTGATCTCCAGTTTTGGTCATTTTGACCTTTTTGACTTGTTCAGTTAGTGAGGAATCAAAATATGGAAGTAAAGAATTAAATAAAAAAAAGTCATTAGCCTTTTTCTCTTGTTTTATTCTTTGATAACCCAATCAATCAATCAATCAATCAATCAATCACTCACTCACTCACTCACTCACTCACTCACTCACTCACTCACTCACTCACTCACTCACTCACTCACTCAC